TTTTTGAGACTTTCTACGTAGTTATTAGTGAATGTTGCCCTATTTCCAATTGATCTCTCGAACAGGCATTGAAGAAGTTATTTTCAGAGAGCTAACGCTCCTTTTGCTGGACACCTTTGTGACGATAAACGTGGTGCTTGGGATAAATGCGAGTATGAGGACTACATCATGCGCATAAAGGTATGATTCACATAGAAAGTTGGTTGGTGTCCGGGGCATGTGAAGGCGCGGCGCGGATGAAGCAACATTCCTAGGTAGTTGACTCGACATAACGCTTGGGCATCAGTTATGTCATGGCAGCCTGCGCCCTATATTTTGATGTCACTTTTTTAGCTTGTGCTTCTTTCGACAGAGGATGACTGCCAGATCACATCCAATATTCAGCGGGTTTCATTACACTCGTTCATTAGGTGCTCTTCAAAACTTGAAAGTAATTAATAGGCTTCACATCATTGAGCGAAGCGAAATCGTGTATAGCATTGGGTGAAGTTTTCCTTCTCCGCGCTCCACTCACACCTCTATCCTACATTGGAGCGCACCAAAGTAGCTGATTAGAGTTGTCTACCCGTCAACGTCAACGTCAACCGAATAAACGAATACCCCCACTCTCTCCGTGCTGCTCGTCTGCCAAATCCTGAGAAAGTTTTCAGAGCGGGGTTGTACCGAAGGTCGACAATTCGGGGTCGTGCGGGTACCGGCACCATTTCACGTATTCCAGTGTTGTTCCCTGAGAAGACAGCAGTTAATCCATTGTCCATTTTTTTCGTGATAACGCGATGAAGCGGTAGAAATTGAGGGTGTAGGATGTAAACTGCTGCACCACCGATGTGAAGGCGAAGTGCTGTGTTGAAGGCAGGGCACGTCCTGCCCCTGGATGGATATTCTGCAAAATATGAAGGCAGGCACGCCGCGCTGTTGAAGGCAGGGCACGCCGCGCTTCCTCGCGATTTCCTCCTCTGATATGACCCTCCATTACCCATCCTGCCTACCATCTTCCTACTAAGGTTTCCTCTGAGATTATGTGCTTTTCCTCCTGTAAAAGTGCCGTCGAGCGGGGAGAGGGGTGGGGAAGATATATAGCGAAACAGGAAGAACCGAGAAAGGCTTACAAGTGAAAACATTTTTACCAGATTCGAGAAACGCCCCTCTCCTTCCAGGCACTAGAATAGACCACCCTTTCCGCTGTTCGGTTGCCGTTCGATTGCCCAACCTGAGAAGTGTCTTGGTCAAAGGCAGTGCAGTCAGGGAAGGGTTGGGATAGGGCCCTGTTTCAAATCAGTATAAGAATTTTTTGCAAATTTATAGGGTTAATGTATTTTGTGTACTCCATATCCCGGAAACTGGTGAGAGGACGTCTATGTATTTCCTTTCAATACGTCTTAGAATGCGCTTTCCGTAGGATATTTCTATTTGAGACAGCTGTCCACCTGTCTTTTGCGGGACCGGAGAACCAGTCCGTCGTCCCGAGTCCGATAGGAGCACGTAACCTCGCCTTCTCCATCGAAGAAGCGTTTTCATGAACTCTTGTAGGAAATGCATTTTTCAGGAGTTCGAACGTGAACGTCGACTTTTGATGAGGAAACAGCGCAAGGAAGCCATGGCAGCAGCATGAGTCAATGGTTAGGCAAAGGTTATAGACATAGAATTATCTTGCTTCTATTTCATCTGTTTGTTGGGTTCAAATGTATAGTAAATAAATCTCAACATTCATCTGTGGTTCTCGACATTAATGTACCTCACATGTCAGATGCTACATTTTTATTTGGTTTTGTTCAGTACTTACGATTTTTTGCCACATTCCGCTATGGAAGTACGGGTGGCCATCATACTGGGCAAAAGACACGGCCTCCTGCAACATTTCAGTGAAAAGTTGTGCTTTCCGAACACCTCTGTATAGATGAAAGTCCTACTTGACGGTCATATTTCGGAGATGGAATAGGCGTGGCTGTGTACTTCATTTCATTGTTGCGGCGCCTTCGCTTTAAGTGGATCACTTTGCTTGAAACAATACCGACAATGGCCTCCATCGTAGCACAAGGCAAGGGTAACAGTTGTCTATAATGGAAATCATCACGATAAATGTAATCCTGCGCTTAGGTTAAAATGAAGTGCGCAGTCACGCCCCGCCTCTCAGTTTCCGGGATATGGTTGGAACGCAGTATTTTTGTAGTACCAAATAGTTTTTGATGCTCTTCTCTATTTGAGCTGGTATGGAGAGACTGATAGAAGAATGCGAGCTCGAATGTCCGGACGACAAGCAGATTCAGGTCCTTGTCTATTCTTTTTTTATTCGTAATTTCATGAATTGGGGAGGAATCATATGGGCCACCTTGCCTAATGGTAAAACAAGGGGAAAGCACTTCCGCGGTGGATACTTTTTGAGTGCGAAGCTTGTGAAATTTTGTTGTTTCACGAGTGTTTGCGGAATGCTCTACCCCTCCTAAGCCGAACTGCACCTTTTAACTGTACTTTCTACTTGATGTTGAAGTATTCCTTTTCTTTTTGAAGATTTTTGATAAATGCCTCGCATTGGTTCGAGCTGATCGTGATGTGCGTAGCAAATCGTGTGGTTGGTTGCTATTAACGAAGATTCTTGAGAGGTTTGTGATGTTCTCGGGATTTGATTCCTACTTACTAGTAATTTGTGAAGTTAACTGCTGCGGCAGTGGCTTAGTAATGGTTGTGGCGCTGTTGTAGCATAGGTCCGCATTCCAAGCAGCTTTTAGCTAATTCTTGGGGGGGGGGGGGGAACGCGTTTCGGCGCTGAATCACAAACGCGGGAATCGGTTCTTGCTTGGAATGGATGAACCAACCGCCGATCATCTCCTTACACATAACCTAATGGACTGCGGGCCTGTGCTGCTCCAGCGCCATAGTTCTTTTGTTCCCAACTTACCTTTATTTTCGCTCTGTTGCAGATGCAGCCCTGCGTGTCTTCGAGCCGTGCAGTCACGTGTTGTCAAGAAATTGGTCGATGTCAAGGGCGATCCAAACATCTATAACGGTGTTTTCGTTCGGCAGTTGCTTATCCGGAACCCGCAGGTAGGTTGCGAATGGATTAGTTGTAAAAGTTGAATACTTCGGGTGAGGGTCACATGCACGATTGAGGAGAGCGCTAAGCGCTGCGTTCATATCACTTCTCAGTGCCTGAGCCAAAGACTGAGACCTCTGGTGGTCTAGCGGAGTATGGACGACTAGTCTCATAGGGCGAGTCACGCGATGCCACGTGCCACCCTCTCCCCATGTCCACATTTGGGCTCTTGAAAACAATTACAAGGAGATTTCGAAGTACCTAGCTCTTTTCTGACTTACTACGAGTTCCCATTTCTTGCCTACTGAAGCATTTCTCAGAGGTAACGGTGCTCTTTTGTATGGATTTAAAGCCCAGTTTCAGGTGGGAAATCTTCATGCTGAACTCGTTAGAGACATAATATTCCGATTTGTTGACATTGCTGTAAGGAGTGGCGATTCAACTCTTGAGTACGTTTGACTGAGAAAACGATATGTTTATTTTTCCTTGGTAATATATTGTTCCAGGAAGCTGTGCTATGAGCTGTATTCCATCCGATACGGTTGTGATTCACAGATGACCGAAAGGCTCTTGGCCACCCTTTCTGCAGCAATTTCCAATCGGCTATTGTCGCATGAGGAGCGAGTAGGTTCGTCGTAGAGAAGAATTAATGGGTCTGGAGAGGGGGGGGGGGAGGAGAGGCGGG